ATTGTTAGATCAGACCTTCTGACTACGAATCCCGAAAACTCCTTTAATAGGACGAATTTGAGTTATGTGGTGCTCTGAGATCTCAGACGGTCATACCAAGCTGCTGAAATTCCTTGATTTTCCGTCAAAGCGAGTGTTACTATACTCAAGAGCGTATACCAGCTGTGAGACGAAGATCAAAATGCTTACTCAACAAAACTGCTTTCATTGTTAGCTAACTGCGATAAGGAAAAATACTTATGCTATGGTTTTCAGGGGCTTTAATGTTCAGTTTTGTTGTTTTCGATAACCAATCTTACTTTAATTGTTATACTGGATCCAAACGAGTTGATGTCAAAGAAAGGTTGTGGCAATGGTGAGCACTTGCTTTCAGGCTGGAGTGATTGGCAGTAGATCACATGCACGATTTAACAGCATTGGACTGAGACGGAGGTGACTAACACACGCCGGACAAGCTGGCAGATGCCTAGATTGTTTCGGGGAGTTCTACAAACTGAGCGTAATGTTCAGGCAAAACCAATGAAGTGCACGGCCGATCTCCCTTTTTTAATGACACACCTAGGTACGAATAGCAGACGGACAAAACCCTATAGTCACGAGGACCTGTTGTTCAATGATGGAAACAGGCAACCTTAGCCCCGGGATGAGGAGAGGCGAACCATATGAGGCCCCGCTGGCGGAGGGGGTGGTACTGAACCGGACGACAGCAAAGCTGCCTACCACCTCTTCTTTTGAAATCAAGGCTTGGTCTTCGAAGAGCAAAATTAAAATACGTGTTAAAACCGGGTGAATCCTTTGGTTGTTCAGGACTAACTAAGAACGCCGTGGAAACTGCAAAGGAAGGCATCAGCAAGAGACGAGGTTTTAAACCTTATTCCAAGACCTTAATAAATGCTCATCTTGAATGTTGTATTGGAGTATGGACTTCACACAAAGCAACTACTGCCTATGCTTCACGAAGATTCTTGTTCTTATGGCGAAATTTATTTAATTGCTCAACATATTTTTTATCAAGGTACGGTCAGTAATATGCCACGAATGTCACGGTGATAAACACTATACTCACTTCCGCGAGGTAGCAAAAGTTAGTTCGACTGGTTAATTTAAGGTTAGGTGAAATATGATGTGGAAACCCTTCCCTTTAAATTTGTGGTACGAGCCGGTGCTTGCTTATCCGTGAAGCTAATCTGCAAAGAGCGTAAGACGGGATGCTCTTCTTTCAGAGAAACGCGGCTCGTTCATCCGTTGCCGTCGAAGCACTACGTGTCCCAGGTTCACGTTCTGGGCACATAGAATAGATTTATAAGAACAGACTGAGTGACATGGTCGATAATCAGCTTAAAACAACGGGCCACATCTGAAGATTAAACCTAGAAGAAACAGTGCAGTGGAAGCGTCCACGTTATTTGTGGACTGCACCAATGTTTAAAATAGTTGAAGCCCAATTTATTACCAAGCGATTATTCGGCTTATCGGAATTTAACGCCTATTACCCTTGTTTACAAATCCGAATTATAGAATCAGTGAGTAACCATTACTGTTCGTATACAGGCAAATTTCCGAGCATCAAATAGTCCTCAACAGCCGGCACGGAGAAGGATGAAGCCATGGAATACAAAGGTGTAAAAATGTCTCTGTGGTTGGTCATGCATAGTGATAAAATACGTTAGACCGTGCTCACGTGTAGTGTTCCCCGAAGTTCCCTGTTGTGTTTCATTTTGACATAAATTCGTTCGTCCAAACTCAATCTAATGAGGTCCAAAGGTTCTTCGACCAAAACAGGTTGTTCAACCTGGAATGAAAACCATATTTCCCGTTTTCTCGAAACACGTTACCAGTGCATCTTCTCTATCCTCTTTTTCCATTTCGAGTCAGATCGAAAAAGCGAGTGTGTCCGCGTTGTGTTTATCTGTTTATCGGTTCAGTTCAGTTCATTTCAGTTTGCACAGGACAGAAAATGGCCACGGCCAATCGAGCGTCCAGAATTCCTTCGGTGATATGCGGTCAAGTATGGCATCCACCACTGCGAAAAGTAATCCGTACTTCCTGGCTGAAAAGAGGAAGGGAAAGACGTCTCATCTCACCTCCAAAACGAGAGATTGTTACATAGCAGAGCGAAAACAAAAAATATACAACCTGAGTGACCCACTTTCAATCCTCTCAGTTTTCTCAAGTCGCTAGCTTGTTATACCTCCACTTTAGGAATAAGTTCACACTACCGTTCGTCCAGGGTCGAATTAAATGCTAGCACCGTCTGCAGTTGTACTAGCTCCACAGGTAGTCTGTTCCATATGTTTTCTACCCTGTTACTGAAGAAGTTTGACCGGGCTATT